ATACATCTAAATCATCCCGCCTCATATATCATCTCAGTCATTACTATTTTCTTTATCATGTTTCGCTTCGCTTGGATAATCCTTCTTTCCGCCCACATGACAGATGCTCTCTCTCTGCGTTGTATATATACGTGTTGTAAAGTATTGTATTTCATTCTGTCTGAAGATGACTTTGAAATAAAGTCGAAAATTTACCGTCTCAAACTGCGTCTTGTTTTGAATTATATATTGAATTCTCAAGATGTCCTGTATTTTCGGAATTTGTTTTTTACTTTATTTTTTTTAAATTGTCGGCTGGTCATGGTTCTTGTGTTATTAGGTCACCTTTTTATTTTCTTGAAAGTTATTGTAAACCATTTAGATGTTCTATTTTTTTAAGCATTCAGTATGGACCATAGATATGACTTAAGTAAAAGTAAAAAGGGAAAGGCCCAGTTTTTAGGGGCCCCGAACAATGAGCAAAACTAAATCGAACTGAAAAGAATCCAGTTTAATAGATGTGCGAAATTAAGTACAAATAAGGTAGTATTTATCAAATAGGTCTATTTCCTTTAGACGGATATTCTTTGTAGATATTGTATGGTGGGCCCGGAGAGCAGGGACATTATTTGTGTTATTCCACTGACTGGTGCATAATGCTCACAATTTCTTTCTTATATAGTTTTGAAGTTCTGATTGTGTACTATCTTAGTCTTTACAAATGAATGGTGCCATCTGAAGCTGACATATTAACAAACTGGCAAAGCGGGATCATAAAAACAGCCCCTTATTCAGCAAATTGTGCATGCTGCCTTTGACCCCTTGGGGGTGAGGCAGCACTTTCCTTGCGATAGTAACTTCTAGTATAAGACGTGTCTTATGTAAGTCGCGACTTATTTTGTCCCGTATAAATGACCCTATTAACTTTGCCCAAACTTGCACGTTTGCAAATTTAATGAAACGTTGAACTTTGCAAATAATAGTATATAAATAACTTTGCACGCTTGGAATACAAGAACTTTACATGGTGTTTTGCAGGCGGGGGAAATCATAAGCAATTACTGGCAGGGGCGGATTCAGACCGTTGCAACCGTGGCATATATATGCTACGGTCAGATTATCCCGATATATATCAATTGAGTATAATTAATTATTCAAAGGAATAATTAATTATACTCAATTGAAAATATTTTCAATTTTTTATTGCTAATTAGTGCATTTTTTTCCAATTTGCTAAATTACATTGATAAAATTTTCTCGAGTTTTTATTTCATTTCGGATAATTAAATTTGGGATTTTATCAAATTTTCACCCGAAAATACTGCCCGTACTTGCGGGTTTTACAGCAATACTAAATCACATCATTCTGAAGTCGAAGCAAGCCATTGAATCCGTAGCATTTGTCTCATTCTGATTGGCTTGCTTTGTATAAGCGTAGCAAACCAATCAGAGCACTGTATTTGTAAATTTTTACAGTGGTCAGATTGAAACTGACCGTCGCAAAAATTCGCAAATACAGCATTCGAATCTGATTGGTTTGCTACGGTTAGACGAAGCAATCCAATCAGAATGAAGAAAAATGCTAGTGTTTGCAATAGTCGCCATTAAATTAATCAAAATTGGTATTATATTTTAGCCAAACTTTTGACTAGTACTAAAATTTGGGGGTGTGAAAGGGACTAAACACCATGGCAATTTATATTCACGCCACCAATATTTTGCAAAGTGCCTGCCACTCAATTTCTGCCTTCACTCTGTGGCCTATTGTATTTCTCTCCCGACCCTACCATTAAAGTGGCTATATCACTTGTGGGACCTTTATGGATTTGAAAAGAGCGTAAATATTTAGTTAATAAGTTTAAAAGCTTTGTTTATATAGTTCAGTAATTTCGAAGTTACAGGTCTCTCTCACTACCTACAGTTCCTGAGTCCCAGGCTCCTACGCACAATGGACAGTTGAAGGCATATTTTAAGGAATTTACAGTGGTGGGCCAAAATTTACGGTAGACCCCCGCGTCCCGCCCCCTGCCGGTCGAGCTCTGAGTATTGAATATTTGTGTAGTAATCGTGTTAAAACGCTTCCTGAACTTATTGAGTATTACAGTGTCACATTTAACACATATTTATTATTTCTAGTTTCTACACTACAGAGGGGTACTTCGCTAACTTCGGTACTGGCGTACTGGCCACTGGGGTATCATGCCATCAAGGGCATGGATGACAAACCCCAGTTCTGAGTTAGCCGCACTAAGAGATGCAATTGATCTGACTAAAAATACAAAAAATACTAAAATGATTGTAAATGAAATGCAGTGTTGAAAGTGTTCCAGTTCCACTCTGGCACTCTCAACTAATTAAAGTGACTAAACAGAAGTAATTTGCAAACATCCACTTGATTCCCTATAAAATATTCTGATATACTCTCTATCCTTAAAAAGTTCTGGGTCACGTTGGGAATTGCTTCTGCTTTTTGAAGCAGCCAATTGAGATTTATTTTTTTGTTTTTGTACCAACCTTCAACTTCGTTCCGTTCATCGCTGGGCGTTTCTGACGTTTCCTCACCTGATGCCAGGTCATCGACAATAGAGAAATGAATGCTATTTTCATCGTCGTCAGCAGCTATATTTTTAGATCCATCATCTTTTGTTTCCAACACAGCGGGAGCTGAGCATGTCGATGCACTTTCACCTCTGACGAATGACTCATTTGTATTGCGGTGAAAAAAGTCAGATAAAGTGGTTTGCCCATGGTTCAAAATAGATATGTTCAATTCTCGCAGTCTCTTATTTTTTCTTTTCTGATAACCGCTCAATTCCTTTCGCTTGTTGTTTGTTGCCATATTTTTATAATGTACAAATTTATAAAAACTATCATTTTATATTTAAATAAAAATCGTGAAACATTGGTGACATGTGCCCCCAATACGTAATGTCAGCGGAAAAATGTGGGTGTACTTTGTGTTCTGTACGTGTATAATTTGAAACAAAACCATTACTGCAATACAAATGCCATCAAGAAATTGAAAGTTTATAGACTAGCGTTTTAATAGCTTGTTCAAGGTAAATAATTTTATATTCTTGATGCTAAAATGTAAAGACTGAAGCTTCGGGGGCCCACACAGTGGTGGGCCAATACCCTGTGAGTGGTGGGCCACTTGAGCCTATTACTTAAAATATGCCTTGTCAGAACATAAATGATCAATAACTTTATTGTACGCTTTCTTACAGGTGTGGCAATACTTTTTAGGCGCAAAAAATGCCGGCATACTGCTTATAACATCAAAATGACTGTCATGCAAAAACAAATAAATGTGTTTCTCCTTGCCAGGGCCGGAATAAATAATTGAGTTTTGATGCTCTTTTGAAACGATGTTAATTTGGTAATCAGTCAAATACGTTTCGAATTGTTTAACTTCATCTAAACCGCAAAAAACAATCTCGACCCCGGGTTTTTGGTGCAAATCATGAGCTAAACGTGTTTGAAGCGATCTCTTATGATTTTTGGTAGGGTAATACCGACTATCATTTTCAATTTTGGCAATTGCAACGACTAACGCCCGGGCTAAACATATCTCAACTGTGTTTTGGATCTGTATAATTGACCTTTTTTTTGCCAAATATTTTTCCAAATTAATTTCACTACGTTTTGTGCCGGTCCCGCTATCGAGTGGGGAGTATTGATTTTAGGGGTATTGACTCTTAGCGAAACTTGATCAATGCATACTAAAATATATATGAAAAGTGAAATCGAGTGTTTCGTTTAATTCTTTTAGTATATTTGGTGGCTCTTAAAAGAGCCGTTTGTTGTGTCTTGTATGTCTAACTTACTCTAAAAGAGACGTATCAAAATCCAACACACATTGTTTGGCAAATTATTCTTGTTGCTTACTCGACGATTCCTTGGTGCGTTTTGCCTGAAACTCCAGAAACAGCTCCAGATCCCGCTCTGCGACAAATGCCATGAAGTCTTCAAGGGTTTCTCAGTTTTCTCGTTTTCGTGCCCTGTACTCACGCATTCTTAAGGCATCCTTTTCTGCTTTCACCTCCATTATGAACAAGTGAGCACGAAATGTGCAGTGCGATTGCGTAATGTATGTTAAATACATT